CCCTTTCATTTTTCCTTCATATCATATCATTTTACAATATAGCGTTAAAGACATGCATCATGTTGAATACCGTATCATTTATATCATACATCGTATTATGTCATATCATGCACATAACACGTTCTTCTACATATCATATTATATCATGTACGTACCATATCATAAAGCATGTCACAACATGTAGTATATCGCAAAACGTGTTAAACTATAACATATATCATATCATTAGCACATTATATCATAACACGTGTCAAAACATTAACATATTATATCACAAACATATCATATTCATATCATTTCATAAACATTTCACACATAACAAGGATATGACACGTGCAGAACCACGTGACACTTGTCATAACACAAACATAAACTTCTAACCATATCGATAGTAAACCCACTTACTTGGTTGACCTTAACCAAAATTCTATTTAACTCCAAATTTGCTTACTTTCGTCCTTCGAATTTGTTCTCAATTTATGTCGGGATTTCACCTATTTTGAATATTTACTTAATTTCTCTAGTAAAAATTGAATTCTATGTTTTCATTATTTCTAAATTATGTTTTCGATTTTTTTTAATGTTTATTGATGTTAGATGTGATTTTCTGGAATTCATATAAAATTATTGTCATTTAATTTTTAATCCAAAGATAAATAATTGCAACCAAATTAGAATAACTTAGATATAACTTTGATCCTAAAAACTCCTACTTCTTTCCCCACGTAAATCTACTGCATCTATTAGTAAATTTGAAGGTCATTTTTGTTTTTGGTTCTATTACATCTATTGGTAAATTTGGAGGTCATTTTTGTTTCTGTTACATCTATTGGTAAATATGAAGGCCATTTTTGTTTTTGTCAAATCTGAAGTCATTTTTTGTTCTATTATTGGTAAATTTGGAGGTCATTTTTGTTTCTGCTACATCTATTGGTGAATATGAAGGTCATTTTTGTTTTTGGTTCTATTACATCTATTGGTAAATTTGGAGGTCATTTTTGTTTCTGCTACATCTATTGGTGAATATGAAGGTCATTTTTGTTTTTGACAAATCTGAAGTCATTTTTTGTTCTATTATTGGTAAATTTGGAGGCCATTTTTGTTTCTTCTACATCTATTGGTAAATATGGAGGCCATTTTTGTTTTTGTCAAACATCTATTGAAAAATATGAAGGCCATTTTTGTTTTTGGCAAATCTGAAGTCATTTTTTGTTCTATTACATTTATGGGTAAATTTGGAGGTCATTTTTGTGTCTGCTACATCTATTGGTAAATATGAAGGTCATTTTTTGTTTTTGGCAAATCTGAAGTCATTTTTAGTTCTATTACATCTATTGGTAAATTTGGAGGTCATTTTTGTTTCTGCTACATCTATTGGTAAATATGAAGGTCATTTTTGTTTTTGGCAAATCTGAAGTCATTTCTTGTTCTATTATTGGTAAATTTGGAGGCCATTTCTGTTTCTTCTACATCTATTGGTAAATATGGAGGCCATTTTTGTTTTTGTCAAATCTGAAGTCATTTTTTGTTCTATTATTGGTAAATTTGAAGGTGATTTTTGTTTCTGTTACATCGGGTAAATATGAAGGCCATTTTTATTTTTGTCAAATCTGAAGTCATTTTTTGTTCTATTACATCTATGGGTAAATTTGGAGGTCATTTTTGTGTCTGCTACATCTATTGGTAAATATGGAGGCCATTTTTGTTTTTGTCAAACATCTATTGGTAAATATGAAGGTCATTTTTGTTTTTGACAAATCTGAAGTCATTTTTTGTTCTATTATTGGTAAATTTGGAGGCCATTTCTGTTTCTTCTACATCTATTGGTAAATATGGAGGCCATTTTTGTTTTTGTCAAATCTGAAGTCATTTTTTGTTCTATTATTGGTAAATTTGAAGGTGATTTTTGTTTCTGTTACATGGGGTAAATATGAAGGCCATTTTTATTTTTGTCAAATCTGAAGTCATTTTTTGTTCTATTACATCTATGGGTAAATTTGGAGGTCATTTTTGTGTCTGCTACATCTATTGGTAAATATGGAGGCCATTTTTGTTTTTGTCAAACATCTATTGGTAAATATGAAGGTCATTTTTGTTTTTGACAAATCTGAAGTCATTTCTTGTTCTATTATTGGTAAATTTGGAGGCCATTTCTGTTTCTTCTACATCTATTGGTAAATATGGAGGCCATTTTTGTTTTTGTCAAATCTGAAGTCATTTTTTGTTCTATTATTGGTAAATTTGAAGGTGATTTTTGTTTCTGTTACATCGGGTAAATATGAAGGCCATTTTTATTTTTGTCAAATCTGAAGTCATTTTTTGTTCTATTACATCTATGGGTAAATTTGGAGGTCATTTTTGTGTCTGCTACATCTATTGGTAAATATGGAGGCCATTTTTGTTTTTGTCAAACATCTATTGGTAAATATGAAGGTCATTTTTGTTTTTGACAAATCTGAAGTCATTTTTTGTTCTATTATTGGTAAATTTGGAGGCCATTTCTGTTTCTTCTACATCTATTGGTAAATATGGAGGCCATTTTTGTTTTTGTCAAATCTGAAGTCATTTTTTGTTCTATTATTGGTAAATTTGAAGGTGATTTTTGTTTCTGTTACATGGGGTAAATATGAAGGCCATTTTTATTTTTGTCAAATCTGAAGTCATTTTTTGTTTTATTACATTTATGGGTAAATTTGGAGGTCATTTTTGTGTCTGCTACATCTATTGGTAAATATGAAGGCCATTTTTGTTTTTGGCAAATCTGAAGTCATTTTTGGTTCTATTACATCTATTGGTAAATTTAGAGGTCATTTTTGTTTCTGTTACATCTATTGGTAAATTTAGAGGTCATTTTTGTTTCTGTTATATCTATTAGTAGATATGAAGGCCATTTTTGTTTTTGGCAAATCTGAAGTCATTTTTTGTTCTATTAATTTATTGGTAAATTTGAAGGTCATTTTTGTTTCTGCTAAATCTGAATCATTTTTGGTTCTATTACATCTATTGGTAAATTTGGAGGTCATTTTTGTTTCTGTTACATCTATTGGTAAATTTGAAGGTCATTTTTGTTTCTGCTAAATCTGAAGTCATTTTTGGTTCTATTACATCTATTGGTAAATTTGGAGGTCATTTTTGTTTCTGCTACATCTATTAGTAAATTTGAAGGCTATTTTTGTTTCTGATACATCTATGGGTGAATCTAAAGGCCATTTTTGTTTTCGGTTGCATCTATGGGTAAGGCCATTTTTGTTTTTCCTCTATAAATAAATATGTTGTGGAGGGCATTGGGACAACATGGATAAGGGAATGTGGAGAGATTTGGGAGTGAGTAATGTGAGCGTATGTTGTTGGAGAGAATCCGGACCAACCTAACCCAAACTATAAGAGTTGGGTTGGGTTGGATTAGCATTTCAGGTAGGGTTGAGTTTATTTTTGTTATATACAACATCTTTAAACAATTCATTTTTATTATTTATTTGATTTCATGATCTATCCTTATATTTTTGTTTCTGCTATATGTAAATTTTTTTTTTTGTTTCTGATACAAATTTGAAGGTCATTTTTGTCTCTGCTACATCTACCCATTTTTGTTTCTACTACATCTATTGTTAAATTTGAAGGCCATTTTTGTTTCTGGTAAATCTGAAGGCATTTTTGTTTATGTTATATCGGTGAATCTGAAGGTCATTTTTGTTTTTGTTATGGTAAATCTAAGGACATTTTTGTTTTTTCTTCTCTATAAATAAATCGAAGTTATTATTTTTTATTTATTTATTTGTATGGCAGTTTCAGCCGACGTTGTTGCAGGAGGGCATTGTTGATCGGTGACAAACATGGAGAGATTTGGGAGTAAGTAGTGTAAGAGTATGTTGTTCGAGAGAATTTTCAATTAAATACTTAATAACGTTTTCTAAAGTTGATTTTTCTTAGGGTGTACATTCACTCGACAACTAGAACTATGAGGGTTGGGTTGAGTTGGATTAGTATGTAGGGTTGGATTCATTTTTCTAAACTCGAACTGAATCGATTCGGTTTCGAGTTCATGGGACAAAATTTTCAGGTTGACATGAGCCAAATAAAAATATTTTTAATTTCTTTACTTAATTTCTCTTATATATATATTTTAAAAATATCTTAATATTTCATACTATAAAATAAGTTAAATATATTATTTATTATATAAATGCAAATTATTATTTATTTAATTTAAGAATATGCAAGAAGGTTCATAAATTATATATATTATAAATTTTAATTTATTTATTATCTATTTGTTGGAATATTATTATATAATAATTTATATATATTTTTATTTTTTTCTAAATAATCCAATATCAATTAAAATATTTTATATACCATATTTTTAAACTAATCATTTTTATAATTTATTTAATTTTATGATCTATTTTATAATTTTGTTTGTTACATGAACGTATTCAAGAAATATAAATATTTAGTGGTCTTTAATTTTATGACGATGTTAAATATTAATATATTTTCATTTTTTATTTAATTTGTATTTATTTTTTTAAATAAATATAGATTAATTTGTATTTGTTTGTGAAATTTTATTATATTTTATTTAATTGTATCCAAATAATTATAAGCGTGGATAAATAAAACTTAAAAAAAAATTTGACAATCTAAACTGGGTTGGGTTGTGAAAAGTTTTGAGTTGGATTGAGTTGGGATAAGTTTTGGATTTGGACGAGCAACGAAACTATTGGTTGGGTAAAAAAAAAATAGCTCAACACAGCCCGTACCATATACACCCCTAATTTTTATCGTCTCATTTAAATATTTATTTTCAAATTTTTAAAAAAGAGGCATTTAAATTATTTCAAACACTACAAATTTTATGTTTTGAGTCTTAAATTAATATAATTGAAAAATAAAAGGGAATTATGAGGAAGGGAAATCCTGATTTTTTTAATTTTTTTTAATTTTATTTATTTATTTTCTTTTAAATAAATTAAAAAAAAGAAGGAAAAGAAAATAAGAAAACCCTACCTTTTTGTTCATCTTACAGTCCTTCCGCCGGTACCGTTTCAGCCGAACAGCTCCCTTTCGTTTTCCCTCTCTCTCCGGCGGCTATACCTCGACGATTCCAGTAATATCGTAGGGCGGCGAACAGCAGCACCTCGCCGACGTCGTTCTTTGGTAGCTTGCGACCTACGGCGGCAATTTCTTCTCCCTCTCGTCTTCTCCGGCGAGCGACGGACGAAAACACATAATTTCCAGCGTCTTCATCTTCTCTCTGGCGTGCGCAGAGACACACGACGCGGGAACCACGCAACGCGACGCTTCAACACTTCCGCAACGACGGATGGTTTGTTGGACGGCTGTGCAACCAGCCGACGTGACCTCACGGATTCGCAGCCATTTCTGCATTGGTTAGAGTTTTCAACAGCGTTTTCTTCAGGTTTGGTAAAGACCCATATCTTTTCGGCTTTAGTTTAGTGTTACCCATTCGGTAAAGGATTTAAATACGCCGGATTAAGTTTATTCAAACACTAACAAGCAAGCCTTCGAGGTTGTTGGTGGTGTTCAATAGTTCAGGACTGGTCCGGTGGGTTCAAATTAAAGTTTAATATTGTTTTGGGAGTCTTCAGAATAGCTTAGGGGCGCTTTAGAACGTTTAGAAGTAGATTAGTAGTCTGATTGTTGTGTGCTAGCTTGCTGTGTCATGTCTTGAATTTGTGATATGGATGCATGCTGTAATCTGTGATGTCTTCTCTTTCGGCAAGGTTTGGTAAGGACCCACTTCTTTTCGGCTTTAGTTTAGTGTTACCCATCTGGTAACAGTCTCAAATAAGCAGGATTAAGTATATTCAAACACCAACCAGCAAGCCTTTGAGGTTGTTGGTGGCGTTCAATAGTTCAGGACTGCTCCAGTGGGTTCAAATTAATGTTTAATATTGTTTTGAGAGTCTTTAGAATAGCTTACGAGCGCTTTCGAGCGTTAAGAAGTAGATTAGTAGTCTGATTGTGTGTTCTTGCTTGCTGTGTCATGTCCTGAATTTGTGATATGGATGTTAAGCATGCTGTCATCTGTGATGTCTTCTCTTTCAGCAAGGTTCGGTAAAGACCCACTTCATTTCGGCTTTAGTTTAGTGTTACCCATCTGGTAACAGCCTCAGATTCGCAGGATTAAGTTTATTCAATCACCAACCAGCAAGCCTTTGAGGTTGTTGGTGGCGTTCAATAGTTCAGGACTGGTCCAGTGGGTTCAAATTAATGTTTATTATTGTTTTGGGAGTCTTTAGAATAGCTTAGGAGTTCTTTCGAACGTTAAGTAATTAGATTATTAGTCTGTTTGTTGTGTGCCAGCATGCGGCGTGATGTCTTGAATCTGTGATATTTATGCTACAATGTACTAAGGTATATTTTTCCCCTTCTTTTTGTGGATATTTCAGATGAGCCTTGCAACTAATTCTCCAGCTCACTCATCTAGTAGTGACGATTTTGCTGCATTTCTTGATGTAGCCCTAGAATCCCATTCTTCTGACTCGTCACCAAACAAAAATGCCGAGGTTGGCAATAATGTTGAAAGTTCGAGGTACAGCTAATTTCTAAACTTAATAAATTTCCGATGATCTTTGAAATTAATAATGTCTAAAGACTGTGGTTTGGGGTTCTTTTTTTGTTTTGTTAATCTAATGTGTTTATTACTTCAATCTACAATTAAGTGGGACGTATTTTGTAGTTGCCTGGCTCTCTTTTGAATCTCATACAGAGAAAAAGATGAAATGTGAATTATAATGCTTAAGAGTGTTGAGTTCCTTTTTTTCAGTTTCTGGATGGTATTTTTAAAACAATTGATCATGTTTGGTAGGGTACGATGTTCGATAATTCTTGTTGAAATGGGATTTCATGATTGGTTTAACATTCCAGATTTCCCCATGTGACTCTCTTGTGCTAGTTTTATAGCAGTTTGTCGATTCTAAGCTTTAAAATCTCAAGCCCTCAGTTTTTTAAGACTTTTTTTAAAAAAGAAACCTTATTTCCAAGAGGAAGAATGAAAGAATAAGGTCAAGCTGCAACGAAAAAAAAGAAGATTATAAAATCTTAGACTAGATATTTACAGCAGTCTAAATTATTTAAACTCTCAGGTAATGAGTTTATCTGTCATTTGGTTTCTCTCTCATCTAATTACTTTCTTTTATAGATATCCCAAGTGGTCTGGTTTGTGAAAGTTTCTATCATTTACCGTACGTGTAATTATTATTAGAAGTCTAAAACTATGGTAGATTGGATTCTGCTAATAACTTCTCATTGCCCAATAAGTGTCGTAAGTAATTTCTGTGTTTGTAGTTTGTATTCTTTTTCCTTTGGCATGATTTACAGCATTGAGTTGTGGCAAATGGCGAGTATCATTTCTGCACTTAATAATGGGGTTTGTAGGATTGGTTATAAGTTATAGCCGTATAACTAAACTGTGGTATTTTATCTTCATTTTATCAATTTAATCTTTCAAGCAGTTTTTATTCAATTCATTTAATTTTGTAGGATGAAACGTCGTAAGCTGGTATGCTCAGAGGAGGACATTCTGTGTGGAGTTGAAGAGCAAAGTTTAGGTAAATTAAACTGTTCCTACTAACCCCTTTTGTTGTCCATCTCATACTGTCTCTACTCTTTACTTTCACTATAGCCAACTTGTGGTTGCCACCTGTACCGTACTTAACTTAGTCCTTACTTATTAGACGGCTGACTAACTATATGACGTACTTGCTTATTGTGTTTTTGATGGTTGCCTTCTCTTCCCTTCATGTATGCAAATCTGATTGGAGGCTTGTCACCCTTTTTTATCCATCTTTTTTTTGAATTGCATGAGCTTCTCTAAGAATCATCTAATGTTGGCTCCAAAATGATCTAGATATAAATACCTATCGGGGTTTTCACGTAAGAAACTATGAAATTGGTCCATAAGGGTTAGGGAGAACTGGTTCAAGCTTTGGAGGCCACCTACCTAGGGTTTATGCTAACATAGGATGAGAGTTAACCACCTTGAGTTGGCTTAGTAGTCAAATAAGGGTTATGAAAATAATAAAAAGCTTAGAGAGAATGAGTTCAAGCCTTGATAGCCACCTACCTAGGATTTAATATCCTATGAGTTTTCTTGGAAACCGAATGTGTATGGTTTGACAGTTGTCTCGTGAATTGTTGTAATGTGTACAAACTGGCTCAAACACTCATTGGACGAGAGTTGTTCTTATATATGGTAGTTGTGATCGATCCTTGGTCTAAATTAATAGTCATTTTTAGTTCCTTGGTCTAAATTAATAGTCATTTTTAGTTCCTTGGTCTAACTTTGTGGTATCTGAATTCATCAACTATTTCAGTCCAGCAGTCCTCTGCTCGCCATATATCCCTTACTTTGGTTCCTTTATTCCTTTACTAATGTATCCTGTTCAGTTCCGTGTAATTGTAATTTATTAACATAAAGATACAAAAGCCTTCATTTCGAAGCAAGTATTTGACTCCTTGTTTTTCTGCATTGGGTTTTCTCTAACTGTTGGATTCTGCTATTTTGAAAATAATAATCATTGCAGAAGTATTATCAAAGCAACAATTATGCAGTCATCCTGGTTCATTTGGAAATATGTGTATCATCTGTGGGCAGAGGTTGGATGAGGAATCTGGCGTGACGTTTGGGTATATTCATAAGGTTTGTCTTCTTCATATGGATATCTAATTATCTACTGTTCTTTGTTACCATGTATAGAATGTTTGGGTGGGGTGGGCTCAAAAGGCATGGTAGTTTGCAAAATGGGCACCATTTAGAAGAGGAATGAGAAATGATGTCAATCATAAGGCCTTGTAATGATAGTTTACAAAATGGGCGCCATTTAGAAGAACGAGAAATTGAAACGACCCTATTTTTCTTTTGAAATAGAGCTGCTACTACATGCATGATATGATTGTTAAGTGTGGAAATATTCATTTAGAATATTCCAAAAACGATGTCATAGACTTAAACGTTCATAATATAAGCTTTAAATCACATGACAATTTTAATAAAGTAAACAAAATAATGAACAATGTCTTGGTCTAACCTAAAGGCTACAAAATAGACAAAATACAACTACCCTAACTTAGGTTCACGTCTTTGATCGCGACGTCACTATCATCCCGTCATCCATAAAGGGATGCCTTACCTTTACCTGAAATGTAAAAGTAACACGACTTGAGTACTTAAAAAAAAAAAAACTAAAAAAGTAACCCTATTGTTGGGGCTAGGAAATGGGAACACATGCAACATGGTGGGATCTATTTTAACATATCATAGCATGACCTTAGGCTGTTTGACAGTCAAGGCATAGTTGGATGTGTAGTACTTCTCTACACATGACCCACGTGTGAGCATGTGTCTACTAGGCGGGCTTGTACACCCCTTTGGCCTGGCTCGTCGGGCTAGCACTTGCTAACGGGCTCTTGTCGAACACCACGGCAGGAAAGGGCCTGCATAATATTATGACAAACATAAATGTCGTAAATTATAAGTCGTAATGCACGTGTCTGTATTCATCATATTGTAGCAGTATCCTGATGCACATAACACACAAATATGCACGAGGTTTCCATAGCATATAATCATGGAATAATGTATGATGCAAGACGAACCTCAATCTATCTAAACATAATAAGTTAGTGAAGTATGCTTACATAATTTTTCTGTATATTTTGTAATACGTAGTATTAACTTTTATGACATGGTCTAAGGAGGTTTATGCATCATAGATTAACGATTTCTTAACAACTTTATACATCGTCACATGATCACAAAAATAACACAATTTTATTACATGATATAGCTTATCATAGCATATGTGACATTACATGGCATCACATGATAAAACATAGCCTATCATGTCAACCAGGGGCCACAAGGCATGTATCATCATACATTATACAATTCATCCAATCAAGTCGATAGTAGAGTCACTTACTTGGTTGGCCTAGGTCGAAGTAACTACACTTTCTTGATACTAGCTTAATGCTGAACCTTGAAATTTAATTCTACCTAAGGAGTCCTACACTCATAACTTCCAATTCAATAGGTATAAAATAATTTTAACTTAAGTTTAAATAATTTTAAATTAGCTAAAATTTTTTTCCCTACTAACTTTAAATGCCTCCCAAGTGTTGAAACTAGTAGGGAAGGGACCTAGCATATCAGACTTAAGCTGGATCAGACGAAAAGTTGACTTGGAGCCGTCAAAAAATGTAGTCTTTGATTGGCTTCGAACTACTCAAGTGAGATGAAATGGAACAATTGTTGTAACTTAGTAAGCCAACCCAACGTTCTCTTCTTTATAAATGGAGTCCAAGTCTCCACCTTCTCAACCTAACAAATATGAGATAACTTTTATGATATTTTATTTTTATTTTTTAATTTTGGGTTATTACATCATACACATCTAAAAGGAGCTTTTATCTTCGGAAGTGTTTTAATGTTGAAACTACTTGAGGAATTTCTCTCTCATCTCTTCTTCCTGATCTCATAGAGCTTCTCCTGCTTGATGGTTTTGCTATAATGACTTTGGCCAAGTAAGTGTGATGTCAGTATTAGTGGTACCAGTGCTCCAGTCTCATAAACAGTTATGCTGTGTGAGGTGTAGAAACTTGGAGTGGTAATAGACGGATAAGTTATGCTTGAAGGTGGCACTGATGAAGTGCATTATGTGATTCAAACGACAGGGCCTAAGTTAGCCGTCTATTTCACTCCAAGTTTCTACTTCAACTGTGACATAGATAAGCTCTATTGCCCTCCTTTGCGATGCATAGCGTATTCCACGTATCCATGCTTCACAAATACGTGATTGACCTGACTCACGTGGTAGAGTACGAGTTCATACCGCTGCAACAAATCCTAAGTTACGTGGAATGTTAGACCAAGAAGTGAAGGTTCTATTTATTAGGAAAATGGTTCTTGTTAAGGTCTATAGCAAAACCATCAAGCGTGGAGAAGTCTTGTGGGATCTAGAAGAAATGAGAGAGAAATTCCCTGAGTAGTTTCAACATTAAGATACTTTCGAGGAAGAAAGTTCCTTTTATATATGTATGATGTTATAACCCAAAATTAAAAAGGAAAAAATAAAATAAAGTAAAAGTTGTCCCGCATCTATTAGGTTGAGAAGGTGGACATTTGGATTTCATTATAAAAGGGAGGTCTCTTGGCTAATTAAGTTACAACAATTGCTTTCTCTCATCCCACTTGAGCAGTTCGGAGCTAGTGGGAGAATACGTTTTTTATACTCGGGTGCTTCCCTATTGCAAATTTAGGTATCGGAGCCAGTGGGAGAATACGTTTTTTATACTCGGGCGCTTCCCTATTGCAAAGTTAGATAAGCCAATTTCCATAGTAGAATTATAAGTTATGAGCATAAGATTCCTCGAATAGAATTAAATTTCAAGGGGCATCTTTAAGTTAGCATCAAGGGAGTGTAGGCTTGGTTGGATGAATTGTATTAGGTATTTTGATACGTGCCTCGTGGCCTTTGCATATGTTATTTGTATGATTGATATGTTGTGCTATGATATGCCATATTATGCTATGATAAAATATGCCAGGTAATAAAACTATTATATTTTTGTGATCATGTTATGTTGTATAAAGTTGTTAAAAAATCGTAATTTATGTTGTATAAACTTTTTTAGACTATGCCATGAAAGGTACGTTATGTATTACATAATGTACATGAATTATGAACTTATTATGTTATAGATAAATGGATGTTTGTCTTCCATCATATATTATGCTATGATTACAATCTATTGGGACCTCATGCATTTTTGTGTCTCACGTGCATTGGGATACTTTCACAATATGATGAGTATGGACGCATACACTACGACTTATGATTTATGACATCTATGTTTCCCATGATGTTATTCGGGCTCTTTGTCTCGTGGTGTTCGACAAGAGTCCATTAGCGAGGACTAGCCTAACGAGTCAGGCCTATAGGGTGTGTGAGCCCGCTTGTTGGACCCATCCTCGCACGCGCAAGCCATGTGTAGAGAAAGTACTACACATTCAACCTTGCTTGGATTGGAAAACTACTCTAGGTCATGCTATTATACGTTCCACCATGTTGCATATGTTTGCATTTTCTGTCCCCAATAGTGAGGTTGTTTAAAATACTCAAGCCATGGGCTACTCTTACATTTTAGGTGAAAGTAAGACACCCTTATATGGATTATAGCGGCTTGCAATGAAGGCCATGGAACTAGTGTTAGTAGTTGCATTTTGTCTATTTTGTAGCCCTTAGGTTAGACAATGACATTTTTTCTTTGTTTTATTTAAATTTTCACGTTATTTATTTTTCATTGTTTTGTTTAAAGCTTTTATTACAAATGTTTAAGTCCATGACATCGTTTTTTAAATATTTTAAATGAATATTTTCTCCCTTAACAATTATGTCAGGTACGTAGTAGCAGCTCTATTTTTATAGCACTTGAGAGTCTGTCTGGTTATACAGCTTTGTTATTCTGTTTTTCTCGGACATCGGTTCTGGCATGCATAGTTGTCTGAGGCATTTTTCTCTCTTTGGGACATAAATCTATGAAAGAATTGGAGTTTACATTTCATCTTGTCAACCTCTTAACCATACATATCTGACTCCTCCTTCTCGCCTCTTTGACATTCAAATACTTGTGCATTCCCCTGTTTATGATTTCCAGTTAATGGAGCCATGAATCCAGTTTTCTCAACTTTCTGCTGGAAGATAGTGAATAATTCCATGATCCTTTGGCTTTGCAGAATATCTCATTCCCCTTCATTTATATTTATCTGTTTCTTATATAAAAAAGGAAAATAGTGAAATAGTCCCATGCAGTTGACATGTTTATGTTGGCCCTTATTTTCATATTTGTCATTCCTTACCTTAATTCCGAATCCCCTTATTGAAAGAAAATAAGTTTCTTGAAATTTTCAATTTTGAATCTTAATCCCTACAAAAAAAAAGAATATTGCAAAGTCAAAAGACTACTTCACCTAATCATTCGAATCTTTGTTTCGTAGTCTATAAATTATACGCCCTCTGGTTCTGGTTGAATCCCGTTATATGCATGCTAATGGGGCTAGTATGTTTCTCATTGTGGTTCACCTTCATATTTTTCGTGGTCTATATCATGCGAGTTATAACAGTCCTAGGGAATTTGTTCAGTGTCTCGGAGTTGTAATCTTCCTATTAATGATTGTGACAGCTTTTATAGGATGCGTACTACCTTGGGGTCAGACAAAATAGATTCTAGCTATTGATATTTACTTGCTATAACTGGAGAAGTATCTTCATTTATATATGCCTCGTTGATCAATAAATTAGCAATTTCTTATTAAAAAGAAGAAAATAGTGGAATAATCCGATGTAGTTTGAGATGTTTTGTTAATATATATTCTCCCTTTAGTCATATTCAACTACCGTTGACAAAATAGATGGTGAGTACCAATAACTTGTAACGTGCTAGTAGATCGAACTATGTGCTAACGATATGGCCCATCTGATAATCATGTAGGGACTCCGACTTAATAATGATGAAATTAACCGGCTACGCAACATCGACATGAAGAGTTTGTTGCAGCATAAAAAGCTTATCCTGGTTCTTGATCTGGATCACACACTGTTAAATTCAACCCAGCTGGGGCATTTGACACCTGAAGAGGAGTATTTATGGAGTCAAATAGATTCTCTAGAAGGTACATTGTCCTTCTCATCTATACACAACTATATCTTCCAAGTCCATACTAACAATCCATCCTTCTCCTCCAAAAGGAGATTTTAGTAAATAACCAAATACATAGTTCTTCACTTGCTGTCTTTTCACTATATGACTGAAGATCTGTTAAGAATTTAGGCTTCAATGGCCTGTTTTCGGATGAAGGGTTTGACATAATTTCCTCTTTCAATTGAGCATTTTTTCTCTTGTTCCCTTGGACCATGAAGCGAATTGCACCTTTTTCTGGTCTTGACTGTAAAATTAGTGTTTAGTTTAATTTTATGCTTGGTTTTTAATTAATCTTTAAAATTCGACTTAATTGTTTAACCTTCCAACGAATTCCTGATGTTGGTTGCTCTGTTTGTTTTTGATGCTGTGATGAAAATTTTGAATAGATGTCACGAAAGGCAGCCTTTTCCTATTGAATTCCGTGCATACGATGACAAAGTTGAGACCATTTGTCCATACGTTTTTGAAAGAAGCTAGTCAATTATTCGAGATGTATATATACACTATGGGGGAGCGAGCATACGCGTCCGAAATGGCAAAGCTGTTGGACCCCAAAAGGGAGTATTTTAATTCCAAAGTGATTTCTAGGGATGATGGCACTCAAAAGCATCAAAAAGGTCTTGATATCGTGCTGGGTCAGGAAAGTGCTGTTCTGATCCTCGATGATACCGAAAATGTAAGTGCATCTTCAATTAGCTAATATACGGATCTCTTGATTCTGCCTAGTTATCACCATTGAATGAGTGTGTAACCGTAGGATTCCCGTCATACATGGAAAGAGGCTGATAACTCGAGTAATGCACTCGGTTGAAAAATGTTCTCTTCCATGTCTGAGAAGAAGGTCTAAATCGTTCAATAGATACGAATCTTGTCTCTTGCTATGAAAGTATCTTAATTCATAATAAAATGCAGCATATTGGCTCCCGAACTCCGAAAGTTTATTCTTTAGGCTTTCTTTTGTGTTTTTTCTTGAAGAATCTCCCTTCATTACTCCTGTGGATTATCTTGTAATGGGTAGTTTTCTGAACTGCCTATTGTTCATACATATGGAGCTAAACATTGTCAATTGATATGATAGGCATGGACAAAGCATAAAGAAAACTTGATATTGATGGAGAGATATCACTTTTTTGCTTCAAGTTGTCACCAATTTGGCTTCAACTGTAAATCTCTATCTGAGTTGAAGAGTGATGAGAGTGAAACTGATGGGGCACTGGCGACCATCCTGAAAGTTCTTAAGCAAGTTCATAATATATTCTTTAATGTATTTCTCTCTCCCTCTTGTTTCCAAACTTTTGTTCCTTTTTTTGCCCCAATCTCACTGTTGGGAATTCTTCTGCAGGAACTCTCGGATGATTTGGTTGACAGAGATGTGAGGCAGGTACATGCTTCTTGTAATGATTCCTAAATTTTTGTCTGTAAACTTCAGTTCCCATTTTGATTATGTAGCTGTTGACGGATAACACATTGCTTAAGTTACAAGTTTAAGCTTTGAACTTTCGCGATTCATATCTAATAAGTCCTTGAACTTTTTAAAAAAAAATGTCTAATAGGATTTATATTTCCAATTTTTGGACTGAGAGTGTAATAACGAAGGCCCGCCGCTAGCAGATATTGTCTTTTTTAGGCTTTTCCTTTCGGGTTTCCGCTCAAGGTTTTTATATGCATGTTCTTGGGAGAGATTTCTACACTCTTATAAAAAAATGTTTCGTTCCCCTCTCTAGTCGATGTGGGATCTCACAATCCACTCCTTTCTAGGTCCAGCGTCCTCGTTGGCACTCGTTCCCCTCCTCAATCGATGTGGGAACTCCAAATCCCCACCTCCTTTGGGGCACAGTGTCCTCGCTTGCACTCGTTCCTCTTTTTGGGATTTCACAATCCACCACTCTTCGAGGGCTTAGTGCCCTCGCTGGCACACTGTTGGTGTCCACCCCTCTTCAGAGCTCAGTGTCCTTGCTAGCACACTGCCCAGTGTCTCGGATGCCATTTGTAACAATTACATCTATAAAGAATGTTACGGCCCAAGCTGACCACTAGCAGATATTGTCCTCTTTAGGCTTTTCCTTTTAGGCTTTCCCTCAAGGTTTTTAAACACGTTTGTTAGGGAGAGGTTTCTACAACCATTCATTCCGTCATTCCCGTCAGTACGGATTGATTTTAGTTCCCCTCTCCAACTGTGTTGGATCTCACGAAGAGGTTCATAATCTTTTAGTTCTTTTGTACGAACTTTAATTAGTCTCTAATTTTCCAATTTTATGTAGACAATTTCTTGATAGTTTTGATGTTTCAAAATTCATGGGAAAATTGAAAGTTTTAGCTCTTATTGGATAAAATTCACTGTCATGAAAGTTTTGATATTTATATTTTCATTACCTTAAATTAAACAGGTTTTGAAGACAGTTCGAAGCAAAGTTCTTGAGGGAAGCAAGGTCGTCTTCAGCCGAGTCTTTCCGACCATATTTCAGGCCGAAAACCATCATCTTTGGAAGATGGTAGAGCAGCTGGGAGGCACTTGCTCAACCGAACTCGACTCGTCCGTGACACACGTTGTCTCAACAGATGCTGGAACGGAGAAGTCACGTTGGGCATTGAAAGAGGAAAAGTTTCTGGTCCATCCACGGTGGATAGAAGCATCAAACTACTTCTGGAAACGGCAAGCCGAAGACAACTTCCCGGTCGAGCAAAGCAAGAAACAATAACACAGGTTCTCTCTTTACAGCAAGTAGTCTCTCTTTAAATATAGATCTTTGCATTGGTTGGGGGCTTACTTGCTCACCTGTCTGTAGGTATTCATCTCTTCAAGGGTTGATTCAAAGTCCAGCTCTTTGGTTCATGTAGATGTGTAGATGCGTTGTGTTGTAATTTTGGGTAACCATTTTGAGTTGTGGGTTATATAATTGCAGGGCTGTTACTTTCACCAGTTTGGCTTGTGTTCCTTTTAAACAAATTCAAGCCCTATGGTTCTGTATTTGTAATTCTTCTCATGTATTTATTGGAGTTTAGATAAGAACACGTAACTCGAAAGTTTCGCGAAGGAATCTAGCAGAATTGAGGTCGACTTCGAGTTGGTTTATAGGTTCACTTTTTTTTCTTTTTTTTTTTTTTTTGCCGAGACCCGAACATGCTTTCATGCTATATAACACCACTCTTTTTCTCTTGCTTTTAAAACTCTTTTTTCAAAACCTCTTTTCCCCACTTTCTAAAATCCTCTTTTGAAATCGGGACCCGCAACTGTAGACAACGTGATTCGAAGTTGGCTTGATTCACTCAGTGTTGAGAGTGAGTGTCGCACAATTGCCAAATCTGCTGCTTGGAAACTGTGATTGTGTCTGTTGGGTTACAACCCAACCTAACCTACTGTGAATGTTGATTAAAAAAACAAATGTGACAACCCAACACGAGTCAGGTTATGTTGGGTTGTGAGCTCTCTATTCGGTTTTCTTGGTTAATTCAATTAGCTTTAAGTTTTGGGTTAGTTGAAGAGATTTTTCTAATTCAATTCAATATCAAAGTGATGGCAGGGAAGAACGGATTTGAAACAAAATACTTCGTCTATGGACATTGTATAAAGAATAGAATATGATCCTAACCGTTCTTCTCAGATCACTTCATTATGATGGATCGAGGGAGTCCACTAGAGGTAATGAAAGATTATAGAGGAGTTCATTCCACTCGTAAGATCCTTGAACCTACCATGACCACCAACCATATTAAGCAACTTCAACCTCAAGTTTTGGGTTATAAGCATAACTTTCCAACACCCAAACCTTAGGTCAAGCACACATCCATTTAAACTCGTTGTCGTGTGGCGTTAATCCCATATCAAGAAAGTTGGTGAATTTGGTGAAATTTTCTTTTAGTTAAACTATCAATTAAATTTTCATTTCACTTCGAACTCAATTTTGATGAGGTTTAAATATTTCGGTGTACGAGACATTTGGTGAGTGCTCGAGTGTGTTTTCGTTTTGTAATTCCATCTTTTGAATTTCGGTACAAATATTATCGTAGTCTTTGCCCATAGTTATAGGAATAGTATCCAAAGGTGTAGTACTAATGGAAAATAATGTATTTCTAACGGCCTAAGTCCATCACTAGGAGATATTTTTCTCTTTGGGCTTTCACTTTTAGACTTTCCCTCCGTTTTTAAAACGTGTCGAAGAGATTTTCACACTCTTGTAAATAATGCTTCATTCCTTCCTTGGTGGCACTCGTTCCCCTCTCCAACTGATGTGAGATCTCATAATCTATCCCCCTTAAGAACCTAATGTTCTCGTTGGTACACCACCCGGTGTCTGGCTCTGATACCAGTTGTGACAGTCCGAGCACACCGCTAGGAGATATTATCTGCTTTGGGTTTTCCCTTTTGTGCTTCTGCACAAGGTTTTTGGGCTTACCCTTCTAGGCTTTCTCATTATGCGTCTACTATGGAGATATTGTCTGCTTTGACTTGTTATGTATTGTTGTCAGCCTCACGGTTTGGATTGAGGAACGAAGCATTCCTTATATGGGTATGAAAACCTCTCCATAGAAGATGTGTTTTAAAACTATGAGGCTGAAGGCAATATGAAACGGGCCAAAGTAGATAATATCATCTAGCGGTGGGCTTAGGCTATTACAAATAGTATCAGAACTAAACTCCGGGCAGTGTGCTAGTGAGGACATTAAATAACAGGTTTCAGACTCAATCGATCTGAATTTGAATCTGCAAGTTTCTTCTTCCTTACTCGACTCATTACAATTTTTGGTGCCTTTCTCTCTCCTATTTTTCGCTCAGCCTCTTCTCGCTCTCCTTTCAGAAATCGTTTTTCGCAGCCTCTTCTCGCTCTCCTTTCAGAAATCGTTCACTAATTTCTTTGGTTTGTATTCTCTCGTAGGTCATGACGACAAGAAAATTTACACAAGCAAACGGTCGTGGGATCAGTGCCAAAAACACAAACTTGCTCTCAGACTCCTCTTTGACGGTAGTCACTCACTAATTGCTCTGGTTCTAAAGTCATGATGGCAACAAAACTTACACTAGGAGATGATCGTGAGATCAGTGCCAATATTTGATTGTCTTTCACCGCTCAATAAATATGTAACGATCCATGCCTATGATTCAAAATCCAAATTCGGCACCTGTTGGCTCTGACATTTTCCTGCAACATGGTCACGTTACCAACTTCTTGCTTCTTAAGAATGAAAACTATCTTCACATATCAACACAAGTTCTTCCCGCATATTTTTGTCCTCACTCATGCATCCCAAGAAAATTTCTAGATGTCACCCAACATAGAGTTGCTCCAAGAAAAGCACACTTAACCTTGAAGATTCTTATTATTGAGCCATCGAAAAGAAATGCGTACTTTGTTAGTATAGGTAGTAACTTGAACTTCCTTTTAAACTTTTTTTTGTCATCCTATCCCCAGGACCGCTCTCATTCAGATGTGGTCCTAGTTCATTTATGTACCCCTCATTTACTTGGGTGTAATATACCCACCAGCTTTCGCCTTAGTTCGTCCCCGAACTACATCTTAATAGGAGAGGTATGACTTTAATACCATTTGTAATGATCCATGCCCAGAAGTGAGGAATACTAACTTCATTGGTATGAGGTCTTTTGGAGAAGCCCAAACCAAAGCCATGAGAGCTTATGCTCAAAGTGGACAATATCATACCATTGTGGAGAGTCGTGTTTATCTAATATGGTATCAGAGTCATGCCCTAAACTTAGCCGTGCCAATATATTGGCAAATCCTCGAATGTCGAACAAAGGACTCCAAAAAGAACGAAGAAGTCAAGCCTCTTTGAAGGTACGAAGGCAGTAAAAAATGACTAAGATTCCAAAGGAGTCAAGCCTCGATTAAGGGGAGGCGTGCTTTGTTCGAGGGGAGGTGTTGGATGATGAAAGTCCCACATCGGCTAATTTAGGGAATGATCATGGGTTTATAAGTGAGAAATACTAACTCCATTGGTATGAGGCCTTTCGGGGAAGCCAAAAGCAAAGCCATGAGAGCTTATGCTCAAAGTGGACAATATCATACCATTGTGAAGAGTCGTGTTCATCTAACATGTTTCACGTTTTGGAGAAAGATTTTAATACTTTACTTGAGAAAAGTCTTTTCCCAAGAATAAAAAAATGTGCGTCTTTTGTGCAATCTCTAAGGCATCTAACTCCAATTGCTACTTCACTTCTATAGGCAAGGGCATCTAACTCCAATGGCTACTTAGGGCATCTAACTCCAATAGTACGACATCGCAACTCAAGACCATGGTACATGCATAAGATAATTGTATTTGTACTTCTATTTAAGGCAAGACATTCCTGTACGATCAACGACGACATCGCAACTCGAGACCATAGTACATGCATAGAATAATTGTATTTGTACTTTTGTTTTAGGTAAAGACAATGCATCCTTGTACAGTCAACGAAAACATCACAACTCGAGACCATGATACACGCATAGGATAATTGTATTTGTACTTCTATTTCAGGTAAAGGTAAGACATCCTATACGGTCAACGACGACATCGCAACTCGAGACCATAGTACATGCATAAGATAATTGTATTTATACTTCTATTCAGGGAAAGGCAAAGGCAAGGCATGGAAAGTCTATGAGTGTTGGCAGAAATTTAGAAAAATTCTAGAATGATCACCACGTATTGTTCAATTGGCTTCATTTTAGGCTTAGATTTGATGCAATTTGAATATATGATGAGTCAACATCCACATAGCAGCACACATCACATAAGTATACATTATATAATAAAACATTCGATAGAATGAGCAATAACCAAACAGTACTTTTCAATCTCCAGCAACTAAAACAGAGGGCGTTAGAAAAGAAGAACCCGATCGATTCAAAAACTAATCACTCGAAGACCCATCGTCAATCCCATCTTCATGATCTCTCACCACTTTCTCGATTATCTTTCTGCGTACGCCTTCGAGCATGGATTTTCTCGATTCATCGTTTCCAGACTGACCGTCATTAAGCACTGGGTCTGCTTGACAAAGAACTAATGCAACACCTGATAACCATCAACCAAGAATTAGATGATCATTTGCAGGATATAAAGAGCTTGCAACACAAATATGGTCAACAACTTAGTACAACTTCAGATACATGGTTTCAGAAATTTATCATCTGGACATATCCTCCATAGTTAGCAGATTTTAGCAGATTCTTCAAGTAAACTTGACGGTTTTGAAGGTATTGAGAGGGAGGCCCACATTGGGACTAATTAATAGGATGATCATGAGTTTATAAGTAAGAAATACTATCTCCATTGGTACGAGGCTTTTGGGGAAACTAAAAATAAAGTCATGAGAGCTCATGCTCAAAGCGGACAATATCATATCATTGTGGAGGTCCGTGGTTCCTAACAAAGCAAAGTTTGTATAGTTTCCGTTGCACACATATCACACAACCCCACGGAAGTTTCATCATATTATTATTATTCTTTTGTCAAGAAACCAAACACCCATTGAAAAAAAATGAAAGAAAATATACAAGCCCACATAAAAGGAGTCCATCCACTAACTACAGAAAATGACTCAAACCCAAAAGAATCAAACATAGCTCATACTTGCAAAAAAAAAATATATATTGGGTAATAGACACCCATGGACACAATAAACCTAGCAACCTTTCTTTCAAACCTCCTCTTATGATCTCTCAACTTCCCAAAATATTCTACCATTTCTTTCTAACTAAATTCTCCGCAATACAAAAAAGAAATAAGTCTAATGCAAAATCCTTCCCTTATCCCAAAATAGGGGGAGAACCTCCTCAATCATAGTGCAACAAACCCTGTCTCGAGCTAAACATAACCCAATGAAGCCTTGAATTCAACTTCACAAGTCACAAAACCAACGGAACTCGATGGCTTAGAACTCAATCATATAACACAATTTCAGACATACGAGGAAAGTGATAACATGCTTTCAAATATCTAGCCAAAGAAGAACGCTGACCATTGAACAATAACACAATGATATATAACTAACTAGAAAGAAGTTGCAGAGGACACAAACCAAACCAAATGGGCATTCTTAGTTGTATATAAATG